GGGCCAGGCGGCCATCTGTGGGGATAGCAGCACCATGCTGGGTCTCACTGCCTCATGAAGACGCCCGTCTCTATGTCTCAGTTCATACCACTTCTACACCCAGGATGTATGAGTTCCTTTTCCAGCCACCTTACCCTACCTGCTCTACAGAGTCAGCTCCAATCTGCCTCCTCCAGCCTTCCCCAGGAAGCCTTTCCTGACCACTCGAGAGCACAGTGCTATCCCCCTTGGAAACCCACTCTGAATACCTGACACCCAAGCTTATGAAATAGTTTATCCTTTATGCATTTTTGGGTCATAAAGTCTTTTTAAAGTAATAGACTTTATTTTTTAGAGCAGTTTTAGGTCGCAGCAACTCTATGCTGTGCTGTTTTTTTCTACCACTTGCCCACTGTACATAGCCCAGAGTCACTACAAATAGCAGGTGTTGAAAAAAGTTGTTGCCTGATAGATATCAAATCAGGAAGTGATACAAATCTGAGAGTAATATAAAGCCATTTACTAGAAGGGAGTGTGTGATATAAAAAGTGTTATGTCAGCTATAAGAATGGAAGTAAAATGGACAGTGAAGACCACTGGTCGGGCCTCTGCAGGACATGTGTCCAGCAGAGCAGTTGTGCCATCCCTTGGCCTGGGGGCCCCACAAGGGAACACTCCCCAGTGCGTGGTATCACAAGGCTCTAGCCCCCTCATGGCTCCACGACAGAGGGAATGGCTTACAGGGAGAGCCGAGATGCTGGGGTGCCCCATTTTCAGAACCCCTGGTTTATATGCTCTCCAAACATTGGCCAGACCAGTGTGTTCTGTTTTCCCTCAGATTATTTTTAAAAACGCCTCAGTTTGAAGAACATAATAGTGAGGCTGGGCATCTCACACTGACCCTGGATTTCTGCCTCCGTTGTTGTCACATTTCATAAACCAGCTCTGTCATCTTAAGAGCATCACTGAACAAGGGCACAGGCCTGTTCTCAGTCATAACAACACTGACTAGCGTGGACCAAGTGCTGTGATGCCCCAAGCTCGTGGTACAAGCTCCAAGTGCATCGTCTCACTTGGTCCTTGAGCAGCACCATCCATTGACCCCATGTCACAGATGAAGAAACAGCTCAGAGAGACTAAGCTAGTAAGTGGCAGAGCTAGGTTCAAACTCAGCTCTTTCTCCCTGCCCCCCTAAAGCCCAAAATACCTAACCACTGGGCTCTGCAGCCTCCCCTCTGACGAAAGGCACACCACCAGGAGACAGAAAAACCAATAGCAGGAAGGATGCGGGCGGGGGGAGGCACAGGGAAGGGGGGAATGTGAGAAGAAGGAGAGAGTGGCATGAAGAGGAGAGGAAGCTGGGGTCTGGATGAGGCGCACACGGGGTCTGGCTTTGGGTCCAGGAGGCCTTTGAGAAGTGGGATTGAAGCAAGCAAGTTGTTGGTGACCGCTGGAGAAACAAGCCACAAAATATGCAGAAGCCATTTCCTCTCTCAAGGAAGATAAACAATAGATTCATAAACAAATTTTACAAAGCTGCCTAGCTATTTAAAGCATTCTGGTAGGAGCTCATATCCTTTGTGAGTATAAAGCTAATCCTGAAAAAACGGTCAACGGTTATTTTGGGGAGAGGGAAGGTGGGACAAGTGGATAGGAGAGGGACGTACTACTTTCTGGTCTGTGATCCGCTAGCCCTGTGACTGCAGCCAGTTACATGTCCTCTCTGCCCCTCGCTTCACTCTTCCGTCAACAAGGGATAGTCATTCCTGCCCCCCAGGGCTATGGCGGAGAAGAAAGAAGATATACTTTCTGGCAATATGGCAGACCAGATACACGACCTTCCCCACTGAAACAACTAATATGCTGGATAAAATTTAAAATATAAAAATTGTATACACATTGCTGAGCTGGTATAAATGGAAGGATTCTTCGAAGACCAAAACCAAAACCAAAAGCAGGAACCTTGGGAGGTAAGCTAGAAGCAAAGCTGGCTTCTGCCCTAAGGGTTCCTGCTGACCCCCAGAGATTCTAAGTTTCCCATGAGAGCTGCACAGGGTTTAGAAAACAGGAGAAAAAGCCTAGTTCCTCCATAAAGTTGGGACTCCAAAAGGCTCCACCCTCAATGAATGAGAAATAGACCCACAGCACAGAAGGGGACTGCAAGGAAACCTGAGCTTGGGCTGGATAGAATGGGGGTGGGGGGTGGGATGCTCTCCTGAACATTTGTAACCATAAGCTGGACCTCACACAGGTTTGCAGTTTGAATTCATGCTACTTATGTAGCTGGAAAAGCTTTAGGGAGAAAATTAATGTAAAATGATTTTTGGCTGGTAGTGCTCCCAGACAACTAGCAGAAGTTAACGCAAATCTTCTCTGGGAAAATTAGCTTCAGTCCACACCTCAAATAATTCCCAAAGATAAAGTTCCAGGGAAAAGGAGCAGCTCACAGAAAATAACAACAAGAAAACAAGGCCCTGTGAGTACTAGCCAGCAAAAACAACAGATGGCAGAATCAGACCTGCAAAGATTTCGGATTCTGGAATTACCAGACATGAAATTCTACAATGTCTAAACAGCCACTTCAATATATTAAAGAAATAAAAAAAGAAGTTTGCAAACATGAGCAAGAAATAAGGGATCAGAAAATCACCAAGCAGATTTGAAAAATAATGGACCAGAACTTCAAGAAATGATAAATAAAGGAACTGAAAGGAAAAAAATTCAGTGGATGGATTCAACAGCATTTGAGACACAGAATAAATTAGTTAAATGGAAGACAGATTTGAAGAAATTATTCAGGGTTCAGCACAGGGACAAAGAGATGAAAAATACGAAACAGAGATTAAAGAGATACAGAGAAGAGAATGAGAAGGTCTACCATATGTCTACCTCGAGTTCCAGAGGAGATATGAGAGAGAATGGGAAAGAGGCAATATTCAAAGAACTAAAAGGGTGAGAATTTTCCAGCATTGTTGAAAAACAACCATCTTTAGCTGTAGGAATCCCCACAAAACCCAAGCAGAATAAAGACAGAGAAATTTACACCTAGTTACATGACAATGAAGCTGGAGGCGACCAAAGAAAACGATGCTATCTTGAACATAACCAGAGAGAAATGCCAGGTCACTTATAAAGAAACAGCAATTAGATTGATAGCCAGCTTCTCAACAGCCACATTCAGAGCCAGAGGTAGTGGAATAATGGCTTCAATGACCCAAGAGAACATATCCAGTAAAGCTACCTTTCAAAACTGTGAGCAAAACAAAGACATTTTCGAGTCAACAAAAACCAAACCAAACCCAGACAGAAAAAACACGCAAGTTCACCAGCAACAGACTCTCACTACTGGATAACGCTAAAGGATTTATTTTAGGCAGAAAGCAAATGATCTCAGATTCATGAAAGGATGGTGAAAAAAGATATTGATAAGTCTGTGGGTAAATCTGTACACATACTTACTGTATAAAACAATGACGTCTAACGTGGGGAAAAAACAGGATAGAATGAAAACAGAGGAAATTTGTATATAAATTAGGAGAGGCAGTGGTTAGAATTAAACCAGTTTAGGGTTCTTGTATTGTCTGGGAGGAAGGTAAAGACACTGATTACTTTTAGACTTTGTTAAGTATGCCTGTTAAAATCACTGGGGTAACTACTGAAAGAATAGATATGAAGCATATAACTTCCAAATAAGAAGATGGAAAATGGAATGAGGGAGAAAAACAACACTTCAACCAAAAAGAAAGAGTACAAAAAAATTCAAAGTATATAAAGATGGTAGAAATGAATCTCAATTCATCAATAAGATATACCTGTTCTAAATATCTATGCACCAAATAGCATTCCCTTAAAATACATAAAGCAAAAATTTCAGCACCAGAAGGAGAAATGGACAAATCCAGTGGGAGATTTTTTAACACATTTCTCTCAATAATTGATAGATTAATTAGACAAAAACAGAAAAGGACATATTATAGATGATTTGAACAGCACAACGAACTAACTCATTTCAATGATCTTATATAGAAAACTATATCCAAAAATTAGAGAAAACACATTTTTTCAAGCACTCATGGAACAAATAAGAAAAAAGTTGAAAAGAGATGAAATATAAAAAAAGAGCACACAGAAGTGGTTCAATGCTTATTTCAAACTCTCTCTCAAGATCCAAACCTATTTTGTCTTAAAAAAGACAGAGACCCCATCTTTCTTGATCATTGACGTATCTCCAGAGTCTAGCACGGTGACTGTCACGAAGGAGGCTCTTCATATGCACTGAAGAATGAGCAGTGAATGAGGGATTCTCTGTTGAGGATGGCACAGGTTGAGTGAGCAACTGGCAGGGCTGTAATGGATGTAATGAAGTCCTTTCCAACATGGAGGGATAATTTATACAAAAAACAAAAGCAGAGTCATGACGGCCATCTTCAAATCTGAAGAGAGAGTCATGTTGAAGAGTCTTTGACAACCCAGTCTTGATGGTTCCAAACGGCAGAGCAGAGAAGAGCAGACAGAACTTACAAAGAGGCAGAATTTGTCCCAAGATTAGGAAGAATTTTCTAACAATTCACTGTTCAGCGTTGGCTGGGAATTGGCCTGGCTGATCCTCTAAGGCCCCTTACCACCCCGTATGGGACAGGAGTCTCTGTCCGGGATGTCCTGGGAGTCCCAGACCATGGACTGACCATCCTTCAAATTCCATCCTATTCCAGAGATTCCTTTACCCCCAATTCCCTGGATACTCAATCCCTGAAAGGTCCCAAGATTCAGGAGGTGCTGGAGGAATAACAAGAGCTTCAGTCCTCAGCAACTCAATTCAGTGTCCTTCCTGCTCCACCATCAGCCTCTCCACGAACTGAAAAGAGTACATTTGGCCTCCTTAAGCAGACATGCACTTTCCAAGTCTACCCATGCCCCAGTAAACCCCATTTTTCCAGCACGTGATGAGAGATTAAAAAAGCATATAGAATTAGTTAAAATAAAAATTCCTAAACCTTCCAGGAGAAGGAAAGCAAGCTCACCTTGACCTCCGCAGCAGATGGTTGAGTTGGGGGCCTGGCTCTGGGGGCTTCTCCTGCGGCTGGCCAGTCATGCTGCTCTCATGCTGCTGGGCAGGTGGGAAGAGGAGACCTGGTTCTGTGGGAAAAAGAGAAGGAAGGGTCACTTCATCGTTCGCCTCTAGCTCTCCATCACCAGCCTGCAGAGGACACTATCCAGAAGCCCCAGGAGTTCCCGAGGCTGGCCTCACCCACTCTCATGTCATTGGGGCGCAGGCAGGCATGCATGGGACAAATGTTTCCCACGCCCTACAATGTGCCAGGCAGGGCTCTTAGGAATGAGGCCACAAAGATGAATTAGACGCAGTCGCTGCTCTCAAGAAACAGTCTAACGAGAGAGAGAGATGAACACGTGTTTCATTACAGTATAATTGGGTAAGTGCTGTGGTTTCCCAAAATTCACTCAACAACCTACCTGTCCCACAGGGGTGCAAAGGCAGCTTACAAGTGCTACACAGCCAGGGCTGCTCGAACTATCTGTGATGAAGAACCAGTTGTCTCTGTTTTTGTTTCAATTTCCAATCCATCACAGATAATACTTTTAGAAAATATAACAAAAATGAACTGCTAGAAAAATGAAATGAAAAAATATGTATACAAAGGGCAAGCCTATTTTTTCATTATTTGATTCATAGATGACTCTGTCAAATTGGTAAGAAAGTTTCTAAGTGCTTACTCTCCATTTCTGTACTTATCTTGTGGACCACCGGTAAGCAGTTTGCAGACCAGCACCATTCCACCAACCACACTGAGTAAAGTTTATACAGAGTGCAACTTCCCTAAGATGTCTAGCCGATCTCTTGGTTCAGAGAGGGTGGCTAGAAATAAAAATGACACCAAATTCGCCCTCTGGTCTAGAGTTCAGAGAGTGTCTGTCCAGGAAGGAGAGAGCCACAGCAGGGACTTTGGGAAAGTGTGGCTTCGGGGTGTCTGGACAGAAGTGGTGGCACCAACTTGCTGGTTCAGGTAACAGAGAATGAGGCTCATGCAACCTGGTCCAAATTTGTGCCTGGAGCCCTGTCCTGCTCCATCCCGAACTTCCACACCCACTATGGCAACCGCAGGTGAAGCTACCACCCTGAATGGGAAGAACAAAGTGTCACCTATGAAAATGGACTGGGATATTTCAGAAAATAAATCATTTCCAAAATGTCATGAGGGCTGCTGGTGTTCATTCCTACTATTTAATGCTATAAAAGTCATTTTTTTTTTTTAAATTGAGAAATCCTTTGTCTGTGACAGCCAGCTCCAAAAAAAGCCTTTAAATGCCTATTGCCTTAATACTTGAGGGAGAGATTACAAGTCATTTTCACCCATTTGAATGTTTAACAGAAAGTGCTCATTCCTCTAAACTCTCAGCTTTTAAGTAGTTCCTATTTTAAACTTTAGAAGAAGATAACTCTGTTGAAGAAAAACTTCCCTTTCAAAGTCTTTTTTTTTTTTAATGCAAACACACATACACTCTCATTCCTTCCTTCGAATGCTAAATCATCTACAATTTGGGAGTTTGTTGCTCATGAAATTCTAGCGATAAGCACATCATAAACATTCCTATAGCAACAGAATGCTTTTGAAGCCATGTCTGTGATGTTACAAAGATTGTATATCATTATCTCTGAATGTTGGCGAAGAGAAGGTTATGGGAATAACTATTTATGTACAAATAAGTCAATACAGTAACTGGCAACCTAAATAGCAGATCTTATCGAGAAGCCAAACCACGGCATGGGTGGGAGGCAGGAACGTACTTCCCTCTGTTTTCATGAATAAATATTGCCATCCTTACTCTCCACATGGGAAAGTATCTCTCCAAGCTCCCTGCAGCAGCACGAGTCCTTGGAACCAGTTGTCTCACGGGCAAGAGTTAAGCTTACACAACCACATACTCAACTTTGATTGGTCATCTACTACATGTCAGGTGCTGGGCTAGATTCTAGGGTTCTCATGATGGCGTCTTCCTCAAGAGGCCCAAAAGAGACATATAAACAGGTCATTACAATTCTCCTTCCCTGCTAAGAAGAGTATATTGGCTGCAGTTAAAGGAAAGGGAATGAAGTTAGCTAGCTCAATCCATCTGTCCAACCATCCATTTGTCCATCCAGTGTTGACTGAGTGCCAATATGGACCAGGCAAGTGCGAGGCACTGGGCACACAACAGTTGAGACCAATGTGGTCCTTGCCTTCCTCACGGAGCTTATAGTCTAGTGGGGGGAGCCAACAATAACAAATTAGAAATAACTATAATAGTGACGTGCTCTAAAGAAGTATGGCTACCGCGATAATAGCATCTGACAGGGGGTGGATCCAGCATGGAGAAGGGTCAGTGGTGCTTTCCTAAGGAATTAGTCTTTAATCTGAGCCCTAAGAATAAATTAGTGAAGCAAATAGGGAAGGCAGGAGGGGAAAGATAGAAAGAAAAGGTGTTGCCAGCACAATGAATAGTCTGTGCAGAGGTCCCGTGATGAGAAGGAGCAAGGCACGTTCTCGCTGTGAGAGGAGGCTCTTAATGAGGATCAAGTCAGTTGTCAACCTCACACCAAGCTTCAATCACTGTGGTATTCAGGGCAACCATTACAGATGCACAGGTTTTTCAAAAAGTACCCAAGAAGTTACCTAGGGCAAGCCAGGAAAATAAGGTGCCTATCTGCTCGATTCCCCCTCACCCTAAGCTGGCATGAGGCATCCAGAATAGGGGCCACCTTGCCCTCCCTCCCATTTTATAACAAGTTTTAGGACTCTTACCTATTTTCTTTTCAACAGCGGTCACTTGGCTAAATCCAATCTGGCCAGTGGTAAAAATTAGTTGGTCAATGCTGACATAAGACTGACGGTGAGTGTGGGTTTGGGGATGTGGACGAGCATTCTATTAATGAAATTATGGCTGGAAAAGCCTCATGGTGGATGTTACTTTATGGAAGGTCATACAATTTCAGGCACAGAACACGAGCTTTGGGGCCAAGTAGACCTGGGCTCAAATCGGGCCCCGCCCCTCCCTGGCCATTTGGCCTTGTTCTTCTGTAAACAGGGTTAGCTGTGCCCCCTGGCAGGGATCTCAGGAAGATCAGCAAGAATGCAGGTCCCACACTGAGCACATTTGCTGGCTCCCACCAGGCCCCAGATAAGCAGCAGCACGGCTATTACCACATACCGGTGAGGTGGGGACAGCCATGCCCCTCTCTCAACTGGAGAATCAATAGGAATCCATGAAACGATTTCCCAGCCAGTACTAGGGCTGCAGGGCAGCTTTGCAAGAGCACAGGGGTCGGGCATCACTGACCAGTGGTCCTGATGACTCACCATTTCTTGGTGAGTGTCCTCAAGGGTCCCCAGCCAGTATGCTGCGAGCTCCCAACTGGAAGTCCCACTCCAGCCAGGGTGGACCCTCACTGGGTCACACCCCATCAGCCCCAGGCTCAGCCTCCCCAGAGGGATCCACATGCCATCCCAGTGCTTACAGATAGTTCCACCAGGAGCTCCGGCCCTGCAGCCAGCAGACTTGAGTTCTAGTTCTAGCTCCACCACTAATGACTGTGGTTCTCTTGGACAAACAGCCGAGTCCCCGATGGTAGAGGAGATGGAACAACTACTACATCCTGAAGGGCTAATACAGGCTGGGCACGGTGCTGGGCCCTTCTAGACTGAGCCTTTCTAGACCTTTTTACAAATGAGGAAACTGAGGCCTGCTGACTTGTCCAAGACCACAAAACTGAGCCGTGAAGCTGGGGAGCCCTTCCTCTTTACTCCATTACCACACCGCCTTACGGAGATGGAAATCTTACTTATCTCTTTCCCAAACGACCAGGCAGGACACAGCCCTGGAAGGCTGTGTGACTTTCCAAGGACCCACAGCCAGTAAGCCACCAGGCAAGGCCAGAATCTTCCCACCGCCCCACACTGCTGTCTGGGTCTCAGTTTCCCTTCTGCGCACTAGCAGTGACAAATGCTGCCTTACACTCCACACTGCTGTTAGAGTTAAGGGGGGAATGAAGATTTAAGAGTCTCGGGGAGGGAAATAATTAATATATAGAAACGACCACTTTAAGTGGGTATCGAGAGGTTCAAACCAAAGAGGAAGGGTTCTTCTCAGTCGCAAGGCAGTTGAAATGAAAAGAACAGCTCATATCCCACCCAGACGTGGGGAGGTTCAGCCAGGGGAGGGGAGGGACACAGGATATACACCATGGAGCTTCTGAAACCGGAAGCAGGACCAAATGGAGTGTGAAGAATTCCCTCCATGCCGCCCACCATAAATGAGAAATTGGCACAGATTTTAAAAAGAAGGAAAAGGAGGAAGGGGGAGGAGAAGGAAAATGAGGAGGAGGAAGTATTAAATCTGTAGATTTAACCTCAGAACATTTAAGAAAGAGTGCGGAGAGTAATCAATGCACCGAGAAATCTCAGACTCCAGTCACTTGGGGGCCAACCGCTCTGCCAAGTGAGTTCTCCTATGTAGGGATCAGGGTGCCAAGGAGAAGAGCTAATCTCCAAGTGAGACACATCCCCCAACAGCTAGGGGAGTTTCAGAAGCTTCTTAGATGTGGAGAAACTTCCATTCCCTCTCCAAACATCTCTCCTCTTCTTTTGGTGCCTCATTCCCACCCCCACAGAAGTTGAGAAAAGAATAATTTTCACGCACTGGAGGAGGGGGTTCCTGCCCAGACCATTATTAGTTATAGGCAGACCACTTAATCAGGCCTTCATGCACCTGGTTATTCCAGAACACAGACGCTGGGCCATTCACATCAATATCAGAGCAGCTCAAACACTGAGAGCGTATCAGATGGACCCAGCTGGCATGCCACCATCCACTCTCCAACCTCCTTAGGCCTCCCACTCCCTTGCTCATAGCTCCAGCCAGCTTGTCTTTCAGGTCTTCACACACACCAAGCTCTTTCCTACCCCAGGACCTTTGCACATGTTGGTCCCTCTGACTAGGATGCTTTTCTCCTAGCTCCCCACTCATTAATGTCTAGTTAGCTTTCAGGTTATAGCTTCAGTGAGACTTCTCTGACCCCCTAGAAATTTATGTGTGCAGCAGCACTTATCACAGTTGCAATTAATTAATTATGTGATTAACGA